TCGTAAAGCGAGATTCTGAAGGTTCAAACATTTCTGAACAAAATGGTGTGGGTCCCAATTCTTTCTACTCCGAAAAAATTTTTTGAACGATTTCGCGGCTCTCTCCGCTGCACTATAGAGATCGTTTATAATTTTGCATTGCTATCTGTCGTCTGCATGCTGGTCTGTCCGTCTGTTCCTTTGTCTGTCTGTCCATCTATCTGTCCGTGTGAACGATAACTTTGTTTAGAAATGTTCGATCGCTTTTACATCTCCGTTAATTATGAACTGAATTGCATGAAATTCAATATGGGCATAGCTTTAGCCATATAATACGCAATGCCAAAAGTTGAATCGAATCGATTCAAAATTCACCGTGCCCTTTTCGCATCTCGACCATTTATAAACCGAATTGCAAACTTTTTTACTTATAAAAGTATTTGAATAAAATTTGATACATAGGCACTTGTAATAAAGGAAAATCAAACGCCAATTTTAAAATTTGGTTTTGCGCATGCGCAGTGCCAACTTTTTTATTTGCGGAAGAATTTACAGGAAATTTGATACATAGGCACTTGGGATAAAGGAAAATCAAACGCCAATTTCAAAATTTGGTTTTGCGCATGCGCAGTGCCAACTATTTTATTTATGGAAGAATTTAAATAAAATTTGATACATAGGCACTTGGGATAAAGGAAAATCAAACGCCAATTTCAAAATTTGGTTTTGCGCATGCGCAGTGCCAACTTTTTTATTTATGGAAGAATTTAAACGAAATTTGATACATAGGCACTTGGAATAAAGGAAAATCAAACGCCAATTTCAAAATTTGGTTTTGCGCATGCGCAGTGCCAACTTTTTTATTTATGGAAGAATTTAAACGAAATTTGATACATAGGCACTTGGGATAAAGGAAAATCAAACGCCAATTTCAAAATTTGGTTTTGCGCATGCGCAGTGCCAACTTTTTTATTTATGGAAGAATTTAAATGAAATGTGATACATAGGCACTTGGAATAAAGGATCATCGAGCGCCAGTCTCAAAATTTTCTTTTGCGCATGCGCAGTGCCAACTTTTTTATCTATGGCACCATTTAAGTGAAATTTGATACTTAGGCGCTTGGAACAAAGGAAAATCTAACATTAGTTTTAAAATTTAGGTTTGCGCATGCGCAGTTCCAACTTTCTTATTTAGAAAAGCATTGAAATGAAATTCTTCTCATAAACTGAAATTGAAGTAGCACGTCAAAAATGGATTGCCCATGTGCAACGCTATCTTTCATATTTGTGGCCGGATTTTTACGATTTTAACAGAAGTTGCATCTTATAAATGGGAAATGAATGCAAGTGGAAATGCGCTTTATGTAAATCGTTTACGATTACTTTTTAACTTGTTGAATTATAGATTCTAGCTTGTACCTTCTACCTACTACAAAAAAATTCCAGGACCATTCCCCTCGAAGTAGTTCAAAATGGCAGAACTCCGGACGGACGGATAAAACGCAAACAATAGCACTTTTTTTAATTCTTAAAAAATGCGGTAAAAACATTGATACGGAGTATTCAGCATTGAAAAGCAACCCACAACCATCTTAATCTTAATTCATCCCATAAGGATTATGGTGATAAAGGGGTAAAGAAAAACTTCTTTTTTACGCGCTTTGTTTTTTTTCGGTGCAGGAGCAGGAGCAAAGCAAGCAACAAAATGTCTTCGTCCAGGTGCATCACTGAACTGGAAAATCTGAACCACAATTGTGTGCGGCGCGTCGTCATATCAACGCAAGCAACTTGGAGCGCCGCTGAAACGACGCCGTGTGGAAGCATGTTTAAAATATTGACGCCGCTGAGAAGCACTACAGTGACTGTATAAAGATATTGTTCCAATTTATCATTGAGCTGATTGGTTTAACCGAATTGGTAGATTTTGCTATGGTTACAATAGTACTCTAACAATTTATTAATTAATCTTTTTGAATTGCATCCATTTAAAAAATGAGCTTAGGTCCGATCACTTTTTTACCTGTTCTCGTATACTTATTTAGAAAACGGCAGGTACACATGAAGCTTTGACCCAAATTTAAAAAGAACGCTCCAAAAATGGGAAAGTATTTTTGAAAAATTTTCTAAAATTTTTTGAGGCAAATCAATACGTTTTCTTGTGGAAAAGTAAAAATACAATCGGATTTCTGCTTTTAGTCTGTACAAAAAAAACCATTCATTCATTCAATTCAATTCATTTGATTTGCCAATTTTAATAAACGTCAGGTGCAATTGGTCTTTTTGGTAGTAGTAGTTAGTTTTCTTTTGCATTGAATGTTTAATGTTGCTCTGGTATAACTCAATTGAGGGTAGCTGTGTGTTATAGATTTTCTTATCTACAATTTTATTTTATTTCAAAATATCTGAAAATCTACTGTTCAATTAAAAAACACATTTTCCGAATATCTAAAGAATCCGATTTGGATGACTCCTCTTAATAATCTATGATGGTTAGAAATGGATCAGATCATTTTTCTAAAAAAATATGCCGCAATTATCAGTGGATCGAACCAAGGGAATCAAGAGAAACTTTTCAACATGGTTTCAGAAGATCTCGAGATTTTTAGATTTATAGATAATTGTGAGGAAATTTGAAGGAGGAGTTTGAAAAAAACGTAATAGTCTTAAGAATTTGGATCTAAAGAATTTTTCCGAGGAAACCAAAAAAACTAAGAATCGAAAGGATTCAGTATATCTCAAAAAATGGTTTTTTTTTGTATACCTGTACTATTTTTAAATATCTTTATGGGGGAAAATTTAAAAAAATCAAAATAAATGCAAAAGAAAAATGATTAATTACAGAGAAGAATAATCTTCGAGTGAAGATTAGTGAAAAACTTCATAACAAGAATCTTCGATTCTTCAATTTTTGATAGTGCACGTTATGAAGAGAAGAAACAAATCATCACTTCTGGAAACTATAGGATTATAGGCACATTTTCTTAGATGCAATTCAAGGATGTAGAAAAAGAGTAATTTATGAAAAACAGTTATCATTAGTGGAAGAATGGAAGATAAGTATCTTTTTTTTCAATTTTCGCACACTGTACTTTGGAGGCATATATCGAAGTAATCGCTTTTCGCAACTAGGTACAATTTAAGGCTGCGACCTTCGAGCGTAGATCGGTAGAAGAATTGAACACAGGAATCTTCTGCTTTTTAAATTTTGGCCGATGAAGCAAATCGTTTTGCGTCGAGAAAAATTTGTAAAATGAATGCCTTTCACATTTTTGTACGTGCAATTAAAGGATTGAAAAGACTGATTTAGAGAGAAGAACAGCTTCTGAGTGAAGATTAATGGCTGAATTGAAGATTCGAATTTTTTGTTTTTTTTAATGTTGCACCACTCTGCGTGGATGCAATTTAGAGATGAAGAAAAAGAGATAATTTATGCAGAAGAATACCCTTTGAGTAAACATTTGTGGAAGCATTTGAAGACAAGAATCTTCTATTTTTTACCGAAGAAATCGTCGCTTTGAGAAACTTATGAAATGTACGAGTATAGCAAGGCGTTTTTCACATTTGTGCGTAGTTGCAATTTAGGAATGCAAAGTAATGTATGAAGAAGAATAGACAGTGTGTGAAGATTAGTGGAAATTGAAGACAAGAATTTTCTATTTTTTATACTCGAGGTGCACATTTTTGTACATACAATTAAAGAATACAGAAGAAGAGTAAAGATTAGTGGAATAATTGAAGATAGTAGGTTCTATTTTTCAATTTCTTGATACTGCAACTTGAAGTCATGAATTGAAGATATAAGTTTTGGAAATTCAAAGCGTGTAATATTTTTTCGGAGATGCAATATAAGAATGCAGAAGAAGGGGAATAATGTTCAAGCAAAGATTACTGGAAGAATTGAATGTATTATTTCAATTCTTGATCGAAGAAACAAATCATCGCTTCTTAGAAATTTGTGAAATGAATGCCAAGGCGTAGATGCAATTTAAGGGTGTAAAAGAATAATAATTTATGGACCCTTCAGGTGAAGATGTGTGGAAAACACGAATCTTTGGACAATATCGTCCGAACTTTTTGCCAATGAAAATGAAATACACTTCAAACGTAGGTAAATCTGCGGACATGTGCGGTATTCACGGATGTGTTTTTTAATAAGGAGAAACACATGGTGGTTTTGTAAAAACTTACAGAAACTGACAGCGTTTAATGGAAAAAATTTGCATTTGAACTAACGATTCCAGGAAATGTTAGTGGAAATTTTTAGGCATGCAAGGAAAATTTGGATTTTGGGATAACGTTCACCCATTGCTATTACTGGTCATATTATCAGTATCGAACTTTGGAAAATGACTTTTTTTTGTAAAAAGGTTCAAAATAACAATTACCAATTTCATAATAATTGTAATAGATAGATACCCACCTGTCAACTATAATAAGTGATTTAGAGGGGCATTGTTTTTTATGAGAACTTCTCGGAAATACACAACATAAATAAAACGAATGACTTTTATTTTGATTTCCAAGAATTTGAGCTCGGGCTCATTTGACACCACAATCCAAAGTATGAACAATTTCCTTGCTATATGACAAGAGCTTTACCGCAGGATGAAGAATAACGTCGAGGGTTAGTTTCTATGATTTTATTAGATACAACTTTTTACAATGTAGTTTTGGAAGCACGACTTTAACATTTACCGTGCACAATTTCCAAGGTTAAGACACTCTGACGGCAACACGTTGGCGAAATTAATATTTAATTTGTATCAGTTCATTGAAATCATGGTAGGTACTTAGGTATTTGACCTATAGCCGTATTTCACCCCAAAGCTCAAGACATGTATTATCCCAAACCAAATAATTCGTGATTTCATGCTATTTCAGGACATTGGGAAACCTTGGTTTGAAGGTTACAAAAAACAAAAGATTTCGCGCGATGCGTGCAATCGTGTTCTACGAGCGTTCAACTTTAAAACCGAAAATAAATTGTGATTATTTTTATCAAAATATATGCGAAACGTTACCGTAACGAATGTAGACAGCGTTAATGGTGAGAATTTTCCCATAGTCAAGTAGATGGGCTTTTTCATACGTAGCATTGTTATTAGCATACTTTTCTTGAAGGAGCTGTTCGCCAATAACCAATCGCCCTCGTATAAGGCCAGCGAAATATCTTCACCCTAATCGAGCATAATTAGGCGAGACTGCGACACCAATCAGTGTGGTATAATCTTACCATTATTGTTACCTTATTCCCGAAAAAGCAATAAAGTCCAATCTGTAGCTCTATAGCGACCAAGTAAACCAGTTCTGTTGCGAACGCCTTGCTGGTAATCGGTATCTGAAAATGGTAAAATCAATTATAAGTGCGATTGATCGAATACTCGAATAATTATATGATTTCCATTTAAGGTTCGTAAATACGTACGATATTGCAATTTTTATCGGAAAGCTTTTCAAGTATTCCTTATATTTTTCTCAGCAATTAAAGATGGAAAATAATCCACTGTAACCTTTTTGATTAAAATCTACTAAAATGTGTAACTTTTACAAATAGTTTAGGTCGACGCTCTTCTTCATAGTAAAAATTTTACAAAACATTCCTGCACTAGAACTTGTGAGGCTCCCTTGTTAAAAAGTATATTTTCAGTAATTACCTAATTAAAATCAAGGTACTAGATTTGGGAGACCGTGGCAGAACGGCATGGCACCGATTTTCTTTAAATTTCATCTCCGATTATAGAGTGTCGAATGCGAATTAGTACAAATGAACACATTCCTGGATTGAACAATGATTTACGGTGGGTTTATACAATCATTATCATTAGATTATTAGCCAATAGAAAGAAGATATGGTTTCGTTGGTTAGCGACGCACAACAAACCATTGTTTCTATTGGCTATTTCTTAATGATTTAGTGATAGTGAACTAATGATAATGATTGTGTAAACCCACTATAAAGTTAATCAATTATTAAAAAATTAAAATGTTAGCCACCTTTGATCATATGGTAAAATGTTTCTCTCATTCCCATATTTTTAATCACTGATTAAACTGCAGCAACCAGTCGGCAATTTTAACTGGGCCTTAAACTTCCCCATAACTTGAATCTTTTTACACTCCAACTCTCATGTCCAGTTCCAGTTGCACAGTGTAACAATACGTTACAAAACAGAGGTTGAAAACCCTTGATGGAACTAAATAAAATTAACTTTCTACTACAACCACGAATTATTTACCCAACGGCTTGCTCCAAAACACAAATTCTGATGCCTTTACCAATTTGACCATATCTTTTAATCCTGAAAATCAAAACTTGGCGCTCTGGTTGGAGCAGATTTAACTGGAGACCACCAATAAAAATTTAAAATGAACTGATTTGAGTATGAATAATACAAAAATCCTTCCACTTTCTCTTACATTTTGTTTACGTTTTAAGGTTACGACGAGTACTGAAATACAACCCCATATCGTGGCTACGTTTCTTTATAGCAACCCTATTTAACCATCAATAACATTAAGACATTGGTATGTATGGCAATTTTATACAAAAGATAACCACCTTATAGGTAACAAAACACTTTAACTGACAATACAATTTCAAAAGAAAGTTCCTTCTAACTGAGTTTAAACATAATTATTTAATGCAACCGAATTTTACTCCATTAACCAATTTACAAAATTCGGACCTTTTAAGAAATTTTCTGATTACTTGCAATAAAAATTAATGCAATTTTTTAAAGAAGGCCGATTGTTATTTGGATACAAATCAAACGGATTGCGTTACCTTAATTGCAGCGTTTTCTAGAATCGATAGTTTCCTTATTCGAATTTTTATTTCGTTCAACACGGGGCAATTTACACATGTACCGCTTCATAGTAAACGTGAACGAAAGTATGTCTAGAGATAGGAGCGATAATGACGTACATTTCGAGAAAAACGCAGGCTGTGTGAGTGAATAAACGCTAGACTGTGTTGTGAGGGTGTCTGCGGCATTCGTAGTCAGGCTTGCAGAGCACAGCAATTTTGTTTAACGTAATTCTAATATTCCTAAAGGAACCGACCTGCAAACATCAATTGCATGAAGCAGACTTGTATTGATACCAATTAGATCTAAACAAAAGACTTTGGTTAGTTAAAATTTTGTTTAGCATTCATAGGTTTAGATAAGGAACAAGTTTAGAATTGATACACGATTACAAGATGGGGATTGCATTTTTTTGTATTTCTTTTTATGAACCAAACATCGTAAAAAAAGAAAAATGGAATTGGTTTTTTTTTCAATATATTCAATCAATTTAATTTTCATGCTTATGTTTAAAAGAATAAGGTTTTGGATTTTCAAGAGAAAAAGGTCAAACTTGCACAAGGTAAAGGGTATACAATTTTTAGCGCATATTAAAAAAAATACGCTATTATATTCGTTATGGCTGACTGTCTGGCTGACTGGCTGTCCGCTGAGATCTCGGCAATTACAATAGCTCTAGATTTCAATTTTCACTAAAAGCTTTCTACTATAGTATATATGTGCAGGCTCTAGACTGTTTTGAGTTAGATGACTCGTGAGATCGATAATTTTAAACTTTACTAATAAAATACTGATCTGTATTACCATTCTTTAAAATTACCATTACTGCTTTATAACTTCTTTATTACTGAGCTAGCCGTGGGTAAAAAAAATTAATCGTTACGGTAACATTTTTACCAGTTCCATAAAAGTTCAATTTTATTTTATGCAAGTGGGGTCTTCAACCCTTGTAAATGTAACTAAGCCGTAACGCATCTTATCGTATAATTAAAAGGAGCTAATATTCTTTTGTTTTGTTTGTAATATTGTTTTTAAAAAGTGTGTCACTTGTGTTTATAAACCCAGTAAATTTTGAGTCTCTTGTAAATGTGGGCAAGCCGAGTGATTATTTGTGAAATAAAATTTTCAAAACTGATTGTATCAATATATGAATTAAATTTTGTGTTTCAATCTAGCCTTTTTGACGTCATTTTCAGTAACCATTTTTTTTGTACAACTGAAACATTTCGGTTTTCTAATTTTTGATACTTATATGAGACTGAAATGTTTAATATACGAAGGTTCGAAAGCTTCAAATGTGCCCTTTTTGAAACTTAGCATTCTTTTACGTTTTAAACGAAACATTTCGTATACTTACCGAGGAAACCAGATAAAGACATGTGCAGATTATAATTTCGGACATTATCACTTGTGTCAATGTTAAATAGGTAAAAACTTCTTCCATCCTCTTGCACGTGCTAAAACATAATACAGTGTTACAAAAGAAATTTAACTAATTATTCTCAAAGACAAAGTAATGCATCTGATATCTATGTGTGCTATGTAGTAGTAGTTCAACAGAGACAGGCGGACGGGCGGACAAAACGCAAACAATAGCATTGCATTCTTAGAAAATCCGGTAAAATGGCCCCTATGAATATCATAGATTGACATACGATATTCATATTTCCTCAATTATGTTGTTGAAAGTTATCAAACAACCATGTAAGGGGTGTTTAAATTGTACATTTTCTTTTAATTTAGTCCTTAAACCTTATAATTAATTGGTAGATAAATCTTAAACTCCCCATTTTCTGTATTGTATCGTACTGGGTGTCCAAATGAGAATAGCAAGCAGCTGTATCCCAGCATTAGAGGTAGAACTGTAAGGTATGTAAATATGGCCAAGACAAAAGGCTGGAAATTATGTTCAGATTCTTAAAACCCTTAGAATCATCACATTCTTCATTATCCCAGACCTTTTGTGATTGACCTGAAATTCTATGTAATCATGGGTGTTAATTAGATTCTCGAATTTAGAAATTTCAACTCGGGGGTTCCGGGGTTGATGGACCCCCTCTGCCCAGGGGATACTCTCCCCCAGACCCCCCCCCCCCGGTCCGCGAGTACGGACCACATTCTTTTACCTGTTCGTACACTCCGGCCGATTGAGAAACACTGGTATACATCATCCGTTTGACGTGAGTTTGGTGTCAAATGAAGCGCGCTTAGTTAGCGTGAATTTTAAGACTAGTCGATTTTTATGACTACCGGAAACCGAAAAATTATTTAAAGAAGTGTACAGATTAGTTCGTATGAAGAAGAATTTTGATTTCCGTTACCGAGCCGTTTAGTTTTAAAGGTAAGCGTTTGATATTTTCATTTCGAGAATTATAATTCATTTGCCTTTGTTTCGTTTGACCGTAGCTGGTAGATACCGCTGGTAATTTGTGTTTCCGTTGCGCTTGATAACTTGTTACCGTTTTCGTGGGCCGTTCTAGCTTATGTGTCAGTAACCGATTGCCCTTTCGCTGAAATCGCCGTTTCCTGAGGTTTCCAATACTGTTCCGGAATCTTAATTAGATTGTTTTTAAGTCATACCGTTTACTTTCGTCACAAAGCCAGCGATTACCTACTCCAGTCAAAATCACAATCTAGAGAATACGACAATACACAATTTGATAATGGAGGCACATGCAACATCTAATATATTATTTAATTAATTAATTTATTTATTTATTTATTATCCCTCTCTTGTTCTGGGCCCTCAACTTGCTTTTTAGAGGTGCCTCTGCAGGAGGTCTTACGTTGTTCAACACTCCGGTATTTACCTTACGAATTAGGAAAACTGTAGGAAAGTCTAATTCGGAGTAGCCGGCATAATGCTCGAAAATGATCTAAAGAAATTCCAATCTCTGTCACAGATGAAAATTATTACCTCAACCCAGGTTCGAACACTCGATCTCCGGCTTTATAGCCCAACGCTCTACCATAGCGCTTCTACATATTGCACTCTAAACAAGGCCAAGTTGATGAAAAGCTATGGAATAAAAAAGTTTTAGGATTTTTTTAATGACCACATTAAATTAACTCTCTTTTCTCCCCTTATTTTATCAGATACATAAAAACACATAAAAGCATTTAACATTTTCGAGACCTTTCGATCTTTCCATTTAGGATCGCGAATCAGTTTATTAGCGACAGTGTTGTGGATTGAGACGGGCCGTCCATTTTCGCCGCTATAGCGAACAGGTCGTCCGCTAAAATTGAGACTACGAGAATTAGATCGGGAAGTCAGTGCAAAAGGAGAAAGAAGACGCACAACAATCGCCTTAGAGTACATGTCCTTCGTTAAAAGGTTAATTGTGGAAAAAATTGGTTATTTTCTTTAAAAAAAAGTACAACTTAGTGGAAGCACAGCGACAGATTAAGTGTAGAAAACGTTTTAAGAAAGTTAATGGCGAACGCGAAGTTTAACCTAGGGAAAGTTAGCAGTTTCCGTTTCCGTATAAGGAATTATACCAGTTTTAAAGAACGCACCGTACATTGATGAAAGCTACCAGCTTTAAAGAACAGCCGGTACGTTGACGCACTCAAACGGGCGGTTCGTTACGAGAAACTATAGTTTCTGGCCCTATGTAGTTATATACTAGGAGAAAGTGAAAGTAAGTGCTTTAGTTTCTAGCGTCGTGTTTTAAGGTTAATAAGGAAAACCAAATGCGGAATAAATTTATTGTCAAATGAAGTGCGCTTAATTAACTTGAATTTTAAGATTAGTGTCTGATTTTTAGACCGTCAGAGAGTCTGGTAATTAAATAAAGAGGTGTTCATTTGTGAACCAACCGAGTACGTTGGCTGCCTGGGAAATCCGAGATTAATTTCCACAATTTTTGGGAATGTTATAACAAGGTAAGCATGATTTCGAGCGAGTCTTGTGCATTTCTCTCTTTGCTCCCATGCGTTTTAAGCCGTTTTAGATTTTTCAAACTGTACGGCACCGTACTGTTTAATTTCAAGGTAACACCCCGCTCACACGGCGAAGTTGATGAACTCTTACCTCCGAAGTTGATTACTTATCATATCAACAAAGACGAACCTTGACCTAAGGAAAAATGAAGTCGTCCAAAGTCAGTAACGAAATCTGGGTAGACATTTAGTTGTGAAATAGCAAATTTAATTTTTTGTTTAAATTAAAAAATGACGGCCATGTGTAAAATTGATCAACGGGGTTTCTGCTTTATGTGTATTCTAATAAAACGAAACCCGAGGAAGGGTAATTTTAAATTAGTTGGATGAATTACTATTTATCATATTGGAGTTTAGTTTAAAAACCTATTCCCATTTAAGTGTACAAATGTATTAGCGCCGTAGAAGTAGTTCATAGAGTTTTTGATTTTATTTGAATATTGCATGACCCAAAATTATGAGTTAGTATCTTGGTATGTGAAAGAAACATAAATAACTTATAATTTTCTGTTTCCTTGTATTAATGAAGGTCCGATGCAGCAGATTTTCTAGAACAAAGAGCATGTAAAGCTAGTTTTTGTACCAGTGAGAGTAACAAGGTTAGATTTGATCGTTCGATTCAAGGGAACTGGTCGGTGCAACACATATTTCGGTACATTTTAAAGTAATGAGTTGGTCAGTACCAAAAGCACTCGAATTCAAAGACATTGCAAATCAAGCAACCAGACAGAGACGTTTGCGATGACCGTTACGACTAAATTACTTACTCAAAAATGAGCTGAAGATGCCTAACGCATTTCTTCATTTCCCTGTCCATTGCCTCATCCACCAACGTTGGATTTGGTGGATACAGTTCATTAGCCATCTTTACAGACCTAACCGATCTTGATCTTATGGTTTTAAAAGCCCCTCGCAAAATTGTCAGTTGCAGTCCTATATTGCTTACGAGCGCAGTAAAAAGAGTATCAATACCTGAAAACCCAGATTTACCTTTGAAACGACAACGCCTCCATATCATACCTACAATGGTCCAAGCCTGCTGATACGCCGTAAAGCAATTGTAAACGAGAGCCCAGAAGAAGCGCGTGCGAGACGTTGTGTAATCGAACGGCATGTATGCCCAGTACGGTAATGGCTGCGTGTATTTGTACGCAGTAACATTACTGGCGTCCACGGTTATCTCTTCGTGCCGTTCGTAATCTCTTAGCAAAACGGCGGTTGCGCCCAAAAGTGCTGTGATCGACACGGAAGCTCCCAAAGTTAGAAATCCTAAGGTCGTAATGTTTTTAGTTCTCTTATCCGCGATAAGCGTTTTCCGAGGCTGAAAGTCGTCTATCTCGTCATACTGAAGAGCTTGCTCTTCAAGCTCGCTGATCATGCGAAGAATAACTTTCCTCCTCTTTAACCAAACTAACACCTTCATCCCACCGAGTAAGTGAGTCACCGCCACACTGGCGTTCTTTATTGCGTCCTCCAGTCTATGTCTCGACCGTCCAAACGCCAAAAATTCACAGGGCATAAAAATTCCGAGACAGAATCCATTTGTCGCCACATTGTATATCCAATAGAACCATTTCAATGCATAACCTTCCCCTTGATCGGGTATCCACACACCGGCAATTTTCAGAATTACAATGTTAACTCCGAAAAAGCTCTCATTTATTTCACTCCAAAGCGTCATGATGTGACCTCTAGCTATGAACGAGACGTAATGAGACAATTGCGCTTGGTTCGAACATCTTTTAAATTCACACGTATAAAAAGTGGAAGCCTGTTTTATAAATGAGCATGAAGTACCAAATTCCTATTGCCCCTTTATGCATTCAATTCAATAGCGGTTCTCGAAGCAAAGTCGTGTAATTATGTAGTGTAAGCAATAATCAGTAGGTTCTTAACGTCGATAATTATAGTGACATGTCCCTGTATGCATACCATGTATTTAACGAAGCTATTTCGATACAGTGCTGTTGAATTTTTTACACATTTAATTAATCACGTACAGGGCGTGTAATTTGAAAATTGACATCAGTATCTTTTTACCGAATATTTTAATTCCAGCGTGTAGAATAGAATTTTTCATTTTTAGCTGTTAGACCAGGGCCAGGCTATATAATATGTTTTTACAAAAAAAATTAGTTATCGGGCGAAACCAGGTTTTCCAGGCAGGTGAAATGAATAGAAATTGGGAAAAAATAATTAAAACAGCTGAATTGCTGGAAAGTGGTGTTTTGCAAATTGTGGCAAAACTATTAATTTTAGACGAAAATGTTCAATATAAAAGTTATAGAGATTAAAAAAATGAGCAACTTTTGTATTTGCACTATTTTCACATAACCTCCAATTTTCCTAGAAAAACCGGAAAAACCGTTTTCTTCGTTTTTTATTCTTATTTTTGCGAAAAAAGGTCGTAGGGGTTTGAAATTTGGAGGAAACATAGCTTGTTTTATGATAAAAAAGAAGATAAATTTTTGGCCGTAAAGTTGAACGGTTTCTAAGATCTCACGATTTCTGAAAAAAACCACCTCTTTTTCAAGGGGATGAAAAATCTATTTTTTTTTCATCGTATAGAGGTGCGCGGGGTAGCAAAATTTTCGGGAAGACTTATATTTAACAAACAAAAATAAAAAAATATTATTCCTATAGCAAAAAATCGAGAAAATCGCCAAAAACTGGAACAACAGTTTTAAGATATACACGGTTTTTGACATGATAAATCAACATGTTGGATGTTAATAAACATTTTTTCGAAATCTGTCTTCTTGCTTCTCTTTAATGTTTGCTTAAATATTCCCTTTTGTTATCTTATGCTCAACTGTTTTAGTTAAAACGTCTTCATTATTTGTTTTTTCTGCATTTTTATCGCAAGAAAAGCAATTGGAAATAAAATCGGATTATCTTGCTTCCTGATTCCTGAACAAATTCTTTTTGTTCACTGACTCTTCTTCCTGCCTGTTTTATAGCTGATGCAATTGGGTTGGGCCTGTTGATAAACTTGCAAAATCTGCAATAAGACCGTTAGTTTTACCGGCCAAAGCAAATGATTTGAGATGTAAAACCTGGAATAAACTTTATGAGGGTTTTATTCATAATTCCTGTAAATTAACGATTGCTTTTATTACGGTAAAAATGAAGAAAAAAGAAATAATGGTTTAATTAAGGCGTTTGGGCAATGGGAAACAAAAGAAAATATTTTAGCAACATTAAAGAGGAGAGAGAAGACAAGATTTCAAAAACTTTTTATTAGCGCGGATCCAATACGTTAATTTAATTGCAAAAAAAGCTATTTACCTACTGTCAAAAACGGTATATCTTAAAACTGTTCCCCCAGTTTTTGCCGCTTTTCTTAAAATTTTTCTATAGGAATAATATGTTTTATTTTTGATTATTAAAATGAAAGTCTTTACGAAAATTTTGCTACCCCGCGCACCTCTGTACGATGAAAAATATAGATTTTTCATCCCCTTGAAAAAGAGGTGTTTTTTTCAGAAATCGTGAGATCTTGGAAACGGTTCAACTTTAAGGGGCCCAAAAAATTATCTTCTTTTTTATCGTAAAACAAGCTATATTTCCTCCAAATTTCAAACCCCTACGAATTTTTTTCGCAAAAATAAGAATAAAAAACAAAAAAAACAGTTTTTCCGGTTTTTCTAGGAAAATTGGAGGTTATGTGAAAATAGTGCAGATACAAACATTGCTCATTTTCTTAATTTCTATAACTTTTACGTTGAACATTTTCGTCTAAAATTAATCGTTTTGCCACAATTTGCAAAACACCCCTTTCCACCCCTTTCAACCACCGGGATTTCACCCGCGGAAAAATTCAGTTGTTTTAATTATTTTTTCCAAATTTCTATTCATTTCACCTGCCTGAAAAACCCGGTTCCGCCCGGTAACTAATTTTTTTTGAAAATAAATTATTTTAGAGCTATTTAGCCTGGACTGTGTAGTAAGGGTTGAAGGCGGCAAAAGAAGAAGCGAGACAAGCGAAAATGATGAGAAAAATTGACTTTGTAGTGAGTTGAATTTCAATTTGAGTTGAGATTACATCGTGTTTGAGATGGAGTGCAAGCAATCGGTGTGTCCGTTCTCTTTGGTTTGAGTTTGGGTCCCGGTCTTTATCGGAGTCGAATCTGAATCGAAGTTCTAGAACAGGTTTCAGTCTGCCTGTCAGTCCCAGTCTGAACTTGAGACTAAACCTGAGTTTACGTTTAGATCTAAATCTGAAGTTGGTCAAGGAGCCTCGTTTCTCTTCTTCCCCTTTTTATTTTTTCTTGATTCTTTTTGCTTTCCATTTTACCACCCGCACCTTAGTAAGGGGAGGTTTTGCATTGGGGTAAACGTGACCTCCACTTTATTGATGGAAATACAATCTTTGAAGCATCATGTCCGTCGGTTTGTCGATCTGTCGGTCTGTACTATCATTTCCGGCTAAACGGCTGAACTGATTTGAACCAACTTTTGTACACATATTCTTAGACATAAAAGGTTTGGAATTTTTTCGTGTAAGGGAAAGGAAAAAACCCTACTACGGAGACACCGCATGTCGCAAAAGCCGCCAAATCAACGAAGGGTTGTAGGAAGTAGGGCGACATTTATTACCAAATTTAAGGTTTGACTTTTGAATTTTAAGTTCCTTTAGTTTTAAGTTTTGTTTAAGTATGAGTTTGAAACTGGGTCAGAGTTGAGTCTAAGTCGTCTAAGTATTTCAAGTTTTAAGCTAATTGCAATGTACGAGCAATCATTATTGAAAAGTGGAACCTTCAGCCATTGTGGATTTGTCGGTCTGTCCAAAATGGATTTTGCAGGTGACGTAACTAAGTTTTGTGGTGCAAATTCGTGACTCCAGTAACTGATGGCCGACCTTGTTTGTGATGGTTTTTAGATATCAATTTTTGAGTTTAATTTTATACCGTTTAGGGTTAAAATACGATAAATGAACTCAAAATTAAATTCGAAAATTTGTACAAGTTCTGAAACGTATTTCAAATATTTTCCTGAACTGTATAAAATTAAGAACAAACCACCACAAACATTGTCGCTTCACTCAGGCCGCAATCTTTGTTCAAAAATGATGGGGGAAGGTGTCTATTTTCTAGTTCACACTCTGGTATATAAATTCCTAAGCTTGTGCACGGTTTAAATTGAAATTGGAGTAACATACTGGGGTAGTTAGGTAGACAACTAAGAAGAATCTTAATTCGACTCGGAAATAAGAAAGCAACATTCTTGTCCAACTACAATTGCAGCCTTTGAATCTGTAGCAATTTGTGCATTATTTACATTTATTCCAAAATGAGGTTAGCAGCGATCACTTTCTGAAGGGAAGTCGTAGTATCTTCAGCACAAGACTACCAGTAGAAAGCCTTTCCGGTTGACGAACACATCCCAAGCCACGCGTTTGGGGCGTCAGCGAGAATTACAGTATACGAGACCTCCCTCTAGGTTCTGTAATTCATATCATTTTAATGTCAGGTTTTTGTGCAGGTAATTACGAGGGTGTTCACTAGTATACAACGAACTCAATGTTCTAGATAGTACATCCCTGTCACTTTCGGTTTGAGCGTAAGTTATCCCAAATTTCTAAATTTATAAAACCTTCTAATTCTTTACATTTATGGATTCTACAGGTACTTAAACTTGATCCACTAGTTTCAGTAACTGAGGTTATCCGAAAAAAAAAGAATAACTTTGTTTTTCGATGTAGGTGGCCATGAATGGACCAAAATCACCCTTCATTGACACAACATAGCAAGAATTTTAAACAGTTTTGAAGTGTCAAAAATTGCGTTTATACTGTTAAGTAAATTTTTTCAAATAAGATCCATAAATATGAGTATAAATAGTGGGAAAGCAGCCTTCGCTAAACGTTGTTACGCAATGCTAGATGGGCGGTGGCATTTTGGCAAAGCGCGTGGTGCAATCGCAAACCAATCAGTTGGGTGGACTCCGAAGATAGAAATTAAGCATCCATTGAGCCACTGTTAAGCTACGAACAAAGATCTTCGCAGCATTTCTGAGGAAGAAACAAGAAAATTGAACATCTCCACAACGGGGAACGTAAGTGGCTAACGGAGTTGAAAAACGTAATATCTACCAATAATTTACAAATAATAAGAGGCCTATATGTTACATATATAGAATCGCTTCTGGCACGGTGGGATGGGCGCCGGACTTGATACGGTCCCAGCGGGAAAGTGAATGGCGGTGCGGAGACCGGTACTTGAGCCCAAGCGACCAGCCTCCAGTCGCCTTGTGTAAGCGGTAAGGTAGCGGGCTTTGCCCAGGCACAGTTGAAGTTTCCCCTTGGTGTCGGTGCGCCCTGCCTTTTATAAACGATATTTCTTCGGTAGAACAGGCGTCTGGCTGACGCGCCAAATAGGGCGCTAGTGGATGGTGGGGTGGAAGTTTCAACCCCTCTCCTAGTCGTCGTAACAGTATCCCCCCCCTGTAAAGGGGTTGCGACGGCGGGGTGCAGGCGCTGTAGCAAACGGCGGTGACGGGGTTGTCGTTGGTTCCGTGGTGGCGTCGGTGAAATGATTCTTGGCGGAAGTTCCGGTACTGGTGCCGGGGTGGGTTGGTTGGGTGCAGGGCGTAGATCGTGTACGTGCACCTTTACCAGTTCGTTTCCTCGCCTTATCCAGTACGCGTTTGTGCCCGCCAGCGCTTCGATGGTGTAGGGAC